TTGGGCATCTGTTTTTAGAGTGGAAGAAGCCAACACTGGTTCTGAAAGTGCAGAGTCCTCTTTGAAAATTGAGTTTCTTGATGATGTAAGTATGGAATAAAGGACTTCCTCAGTCTTCACAGTGATTTGTTTAAATCTAGATCTGTTAAATATTTAAAGTAGCAACAGTTAAATAATTTCACATAAGAAAAAATATCGGTGCATTTTTTATCTTTTCCATGCACATGTAGAAAATTTCTCTTTCCAAAGGTTCCCTGTAATCTTTTCCTGTTGTGTCTAGGGACCTTTACTTTATAGAAATTATACACAAATAAAACCTGCAAGCTTTTAATCCTTTCAGTTAATGCTCTTTTTTAATTTTAGTGTTTTGCTGAATATAAATCTTTTTGGGTTTCTTTTTTACTTAGTCTCATAGCAAGGACTTGGAAGAATCATCAAAACTTTTGATGGTGGAAACTGAGGCTGTGGGAAAGAATAAGGAAGGGAAAACAGAACCACTGGAGCAGTGTGGAAGGTATCAGAAATGCAGAGATTCTTTGGAAGAGAATCTTTGGGCTTAGTTCCTAAGAAATGGAGGGTTTTTTTCACAGTCGGTAATACTTACATGGGTCATTGACACAGTACCAGGCCTTGTGCCAAGAGAAACTGTAGGCATAATAAGAAACTCATCATATAACTTCCACAGCTGACACTTAATATTTTTTACCTTTTCCTTTTGACAGAAATGCTGTTTCTCCTAAAGAAACCTCTCAAGGTAGGATGTGTTGGGAAGTTTTAAAGTTATTTTCACAATAGACATAAGTGTATACAGTTCATCATTCTTATGTACGATGTGATAGTCAACTATGATGGTTGTCTGAAAAATAACTAAAAGTCATTAAATTATGTACCATTCTTTGAGCTCTCAGGTGCCTTGACTACAATCTGATGGGCTGTGCAAGCAGTTTTGAAATGACATCACTGTGACAGTAATGTCTCTGAGCCTGTATGTGAGGGAGATACTGTCCCAATCTGAATTGTACGCTGTAAACAAACCCACTGTAAAGCAGATGAAGTGATCTTACGAGTCAGTTTATCTATATTGTATTAGATTTAATGTCTGGCCCATGTCCTTTTCATGTAGAAAAGTGCTTTTAGGTTGAGAAACTGTATAACTGATGACCTGTTCTGCAGGAAAGATCATCATTTGTGTGTAACTAATCCACTGCCTGTTGGCTGGTGGTGAAATCTGTGTCCCGAAACTGTGTAAAGTATATTGTCACTTCTTAAATATTAAGAAAGAATTTAAGGATAATTCATTTCTTATTCTTGCAAGTAGCAAACATTTGCTCCAGCTCTTCAGGACTTGGCACTTATTCTCTTTGTGCTTAGTTCAAGAAACTGCTCATTTCACTCTTCAAATGTGAAAAAGCAAACAAGAGCTGACTAATGAGATGTGATTTATCTGCTTCTTGGGGCACAGGATAAAACATAAAATGGCTGTGTCTTGTGTAAACAAAGCAAAACAGCCTGGAGAGTCATTCCCAGCCTGATAGGATATATTTCAAACCATTAGACTGCTTTTAGAGAAATTTGATGCAATTGCTACAATTGTCGTTCCTCTGTTGGCTCCGGTTAGGTTAGAATATTCTAAATGGGAAAAAAATTACAGTGCCATAAATTAGTAGTTGGAAATGTTTTTAGATTATTATCAAGTGCTAATGTTTCCATAGACAATGATGTACAGGACCATATGCAGTAGATATGGAACTAGTACCACTGCCTGGTAAGGCTAGTTCCATGTATGTTGGCATCTCTGGATGGCAGGCAGGAAGCTAAGGGAAGTTTACTGTTCTTATTTGTGATTTTCTGGTAACTTCAGTGAAGGGTTCATGTTTTAAGGTCATGGAGAAAAGGTAGTGGACTTGGAGGTTATAATTCATAATAATTTTAATTGATTTTGTTCTACTCCTGTAGAAAAACTGGTTGTCTGCAATCAGCTGGAAGCAAATGCAGTGCAAAAGGAGAGTATTAAACCAAAGACTGTGGGAAGATCACTGAGCTCCTGTGAACGACCTGATGATATCTCTAACCCCACTGAACTAATGAGCAATAAACATGTCCTCGAGAAAGAACAGCAAAAAACCTGTAAAGACTCCCAAGAACTGGACAGTGTCTGCAACAGTCAGAGTTTGGTCTTGCCTGTAATCACAAAGTCTTCACCAGTAAGATATTATGTCTTTGATTGCTAAAACTGTGTTGCTTAACCTACTTTAGCATGAGGCATCATACCATGTTCCTGAATCAGTTGACAGAATATTATAATTGTGTGGTTGCCACTTTTCCTGTTCTCCTCCAGAAACCTCCCCCAAAGCCATCAAGAGTATAGTGTTACTTAGAGGATTGTCTCTGCCTACCATATTTCCTGTGTAGAGGATGAAGGTCTTTGTGCTTTCCACTTTGTACTGTGCTAATGTTCAAAAAAAGGAAAAGAAACAACAGACAGTAAAAAACAGATATTGGGGGAGAAGCAGCTCTTGTCATGTTAGTATTAAAGCTACTTCACCTCTCAATTGAATGGCCAAAAATTGTGGATACTCTTCTCTAACTTAAATTATTCAAATGTTCATTTGCTGAAAATAAAATAAAAAGCAAAAAATGAAAGAGGAGGTTGGGGCATAGATTTGGACTCATTGTAAAAATGTTACTTTTGTTGATGTACACAAAGATAAGTGAAAACAAGGAAAAACTGCTTTTCATGTCCACAGTGGAATAGGCTCAAACTCTTAAAACATGAATAATTGAAGTTTTTAGGATTTTAAAGCATATCTTGTGCAAAAACATTGTCCTTATGATCTCTATTACAGCAGGCTGTCCACATCATTCCAGATTCTTTGCAATAAGCATTTTATTCATCTAAACTTGCAAGTTTCCTGTTTCCTTTTCTAATATCCTTATATTTTATCCAAGTTACAGGTTATAGCCAAAAGGCAGAAATCTCTTTCTACATGGTACTGGGGACTTGATGGCATCTTTGCTGGAGGAGCAAACCCTAAGCAAGCAATGCTGGAAGCACATTCTTCACTGTGTGCTGCCTCTAGCCCTGTGGACAGTACCATCCCACTTTCAGGTACTGGAATGTCCTAATAAAATATACCTATTTATCCCTGTTGATATAAGACATCTTCCTCTCCAGTTAACTTCCATCTAGCTTCCTTTTAGAAGTCACTTCAGGGCAACAGTCATGCCAACACACACAAAAGTGCTGCGGAAGTTAAAAGTGAACTTAAACCTTGAAATTAGATGAATATAGTGCCATAGATATACATAATTATTTACATCCCTGAGAATTTGGTTCCAGGAGGTTCTTACTGCTTTTTGTGGTGTATGAGATGTGAAAAGGTTGGTCAACATTATTAATTGCATCAAGAGTATCACTTAAATTGAGCTTTCAGTGTGTTATGTATGTGTAAAAAATGTGTTGCATGGCTGCTTGACATCACACACATCAAATGCAGCAAGTACAGCACCAGTAAATGCATAGTAACACAACATCTGCCATTAACTTCATCTAATACTCATTAATTTCAGGAGATGGGCAGTGGGTTTCTGAAAGGAGCTTAAGTGAATATGCTGATGACTCTCTAGTTCAAGGTGTGTTGGAAAGTCAGTTGAACAGACCTTTGAGTGGTTTCAATGCTCAAAGTAGGACTTCTCTGCTGGAAGTGTGGATCCCAAGCCCAGGTAAGCACAGCAACATTTCTGAGGTCCTACTTAGACAGGTGAATTTTTCTTATGTAAAAGTACTGTCCATGATGATTCTGTTGAATTTAGGTCATTTTTATATCTTCATCTATGTATTTTAGGTATAATGGCTTATATCCATGGCATTGTTTCTGGGCTTTTCGGTTACAAATTACCTCTTTGCAGCTCTCACTACTAATCCTTTTTATTATGGTTAGTTTCTCCTCCTGCCTCTGCCCCATTGCTGCCCTCTTAGCTTGAATATTTAGAGAATAAACTGCCTAGAACAAGATTATGTACTAGTGTGTGTTTGCAGTGTCTGGTACAATATGAGTGTGATCTAATAAAGGATTTCTTCATGCTGCTGGAATAACTCTTATTACATGAACTGAAAGAATCAAGGAAACAAATAATGCATAACCATCTGCACGTTTTTGTTTCTCAATTTCAACTGTCTCCATCTCAAGCAATGTAGCTTACATTATTTCTCTCATCAGAACCAACCAGTTTGGCATTTTAATTTAAATCATGCTGTGTGCAGAAATCCAAACTGTCAATTTTGAATCCCAGAAAAAAAGATCTGAAAGTGTTTATATTTTATTCATGTTACTTTAAATTAAAAAAGAACCAAAGTTTTAAGCTTTTGCCACACATTCTCAGTCTCTCCCTTCCTCCCAAACTGGTGCCCTTGTACATGATATTTAAATCAAATATTTTTCCTGATAGTCCTGCAATGAGGTGATACTTCCCAATATAATTGTAACATTTTTATTAACATTTATTCCCTCAAAATCTTAAGCAAAATTAAGTCATGCCTTAACCTGTCTGTAATTGAGTAGAAGCAAATTATTTCATGCAACTTGAGTTTTCTACCCCTTGCGTTTTTGTTGCAGAGATCTGTAGGATGTGCTGGGTAGTGTGTCAGGTCATGAATTTCTGTTAAGTAGGTCCTTTCCTTGGATATTCAATAACAAACAGCCCAGGTGTGTCAGAAACTATTTATGATCAATGCAAGCATGGCAAAAAGAGGAAAAGGTGGCCAGAAAACTTTGTAAATTTTATCCTGAGGAGAAGTGCCACTAATAGGGAACAATAGACAGGGTATTACCTCTCATTTTGGGTTTGACTCAACTCTCTTTCCTTTGCCTTTTTAAACCCATCTCCTTGTTTTTCAGGAGTGGAGGAGGTGGCAGATGGACAAGGTGAGCTTGGTGATAGTGGAACACAATTGAGTACACTCTGCTTTTGTTCTTTGAATATAGGAAAAGTGCTTGAGATGCTTCTGTTCTATCTCACTGAGGAGACAGGTCAAATGTCCAAGACGCTTTGTGCCATAAGCAGCCTTGACGGACTGAATCAGGCTGTGACAACTCCCTTCTGAGTTTCCATGGTGCTTTGATATCAGCAGGTCCTGGCTGTGATGCATCTTCAGTAAACAGAAGTAGTCTGGATTCCAGAATTTTCTGTCTTTTAAAATGTCCTTACCTTAGGTTTTGCTGTGTTTTTTCACATAGCCCTTCTGAGGCTTCCAAATACCACATTCCAGGACAGCTGTCCTTCTTTTTGGATACTTACTCATCAGAACCTCTGTGTGTTTGGCAGTGTGGTGTTGAGACTTTTAATAGCAAGGTTTTGTTAGTACTGCGATATTTATTTTTTACAATGATACTGCATTTTTTTGCTTATATTTGTGCATGAACTGACTTAAAATATTTTCAGGTCCTGAAAACGATTGCAGCTTCACTTCTGAAGCTGTTTCCTCCTCCTCCAGCAGCCACTCAGAGGAGAGATGTAGAAATAGTACAAATGTCCATAAAAACCTGGAGCTAAGAGACCACGACACACTTGATATTTTCAGGTAAGTTTGACTTGCTGATTATGTTTTTGTGATGTTTTAAAATGCTCAATATGCCAAACATCTGAACTGAAACAAAACCAGTCTCTGGTTGTACTTTACATGCTGATTATGACACAGATTTATAAAGTATATCTCTTAAAAATCATCTAATTCTTGGTTGTAAGGTACCTTTAAAAAGAGCAGTTGTGACCAGGTGAGTCAATAACCTTTAACTCACCATTGTCTGTGATATATCTGTCATTTTTCCTTGGACACTAAGGAAATGACTGGAAACAAGGAATTTTCCTGAAGTTCTGTGTCTCATTGCTTTTATACTATGATCTCATAACTAGCAAGAGTCAGTGAGACACTGTGAGGTTAACTCCATGCTGTGTGAATTTAGCTGATTCAGAGATTTGTGACAAAAACTGAGGGGAAAACATGTCTAAAGTAACTAGTAAAGTATGAAAACTGCCAAAATCTCCAGGAGAAGCTATTTCTGTGCCTTTTAGTTCTACATATGTGAACAGATGTCACTAAGGCTTAAAGAGTGGCTTGAGGAATCTGAGGTGCTGAACATCCCTGTGCTGTGTTTCTTTTAAGGGACTGGGATGAAAGCCAGATGGATGATGAGGAAGAAATTCTGGAGGATAAGCGACAAGTTCTTGCACTGCCATGAACGTGGAAAGAATTCAAAGCAATCTCCATCTTTGTGCAGCATACAACACCAAGAATCAGATGAAGAATTTTCCTGAATGCTGCTCAAGATATTATTCACTAAGGATTATTTTGTAAAGCTGTCAATAAAAATTCTTTAAAATCTCTTGATTTTGGCTTTTTTTTATGATTATATTTTATTATCATCTCTTGATTTGGCTTTTAAGACGTCACGGATTAAAAGCAAACTGGGCTTGTGCTGCTGTTTTTTAGAATTGTTTTAGTCTTTATTTGTTATTCACTACAAGTTTTCTTGCCTACAGATTGAATTTAGTGTCACCAAATCCGGTTTCACATTGCCAAGCAGAGAGGGACTGTACAAGGGCTATTAATGATACTAAATTGAGGGTCTCAATAGGGCCAAGTTTATGTGGTGAGATGCACATTAGAAAGTCTCTAAGGCTAATATACTTTACTCCTTGCCATGTATTTTGCCACTAAGGGACTTTCACCTTGCAGAATAGAAATGAACAGTTTTAGACAATACATTTTACTTCTCCTTTCTTCCTGATTTCATCCCATCCTGTAAACTTGGTTCCCTCTGCTCAGAATCAATGGGAAGTCAATTCTCTGTCTGCTTTGTCCTCCTTTTACTGTTCCAATGTGCCATTTCAGAGAGAGCTGCTCTGCCTGCCACATTCAACTGTACTGGAAGTTACTATCTTACAGGCCTTTTTAATTAAGAGAAAAAGAAGGAAATGCAGTTAAGAGATGATGCTGAATGGTTTTGATTTCGCAAAACAGCCTCAATTATGATTTTGAACTTGCTGCATATTTATTAAAAAATAAGGTATTTTTGTTCCTTCTCTTTTCCTTAGTTAACATAAGGTTAAATGCAATTAATATAACTTCAGCAAGAGACCACTTGGCCAATGTGTTACTTTGATGTAAAGAGCGTTTGGAGGCTTTCTGCTCTCTTTATGAGGAAATGTTTCATTGTACCCTGAAGTTGAGTAGTTTTCTGTGGAGGTGACAGGGAGTTAAAGTTTTGAAATTACCTGAATAGTGTCTTGTGATATCATCTTTAGGATTCTCAGGGACAGCAGCATGCTTCAAGTTCTTGTTCCTTTCATCATGGTCTATTTGAATGTGGCTGACACTTTTTTCTTCTTTTATTAGTTTCCTCCACTGTGGTTTTTGAGTTGCTTTTCAAAGCACCTAAAATACTTCCCCCCCTCCACATTTAGATTTTTAAAAGATACATGATTAAATAAAAACTTTTGTCTGAAAATTGCTCTTACTCTTTTGGGGATAAATCACTTATGAGTACTCCAAAATTCATAGTAATTGTCTAAAGACACTTTCATATAGAAAGACAAGATTTATACCCTGTTTTGCTGTGCTCAGAGGTGGCAGGTTCCCTTCATTAATGCATCAGTGGAAACATTTCAGTGTATTATTTGGGTTCTGCCAGTTAAACATATCCTCTTTCGTATTCTCCCCACACCACAGGACTCTAATGTGTTGTCTGTCCCCCCCATCAACTCTGCACTAATATTAGACAACAAGTAATCTCTTCAACAATTTCTTTTCCAGGAAGAAGTACTTCAGCAACCCTAATTCATACAAACTAGAGCCATCAGGCTGAACAGACCATTGATTTGATTTCCTGCCTCATTTCTTGTCTATAAGGTGAGGGCATATTTTCCACCTCAGTTTTCTTTATGGAGTTTACCATATATTGATGCTTTATTACAGTAGTTCTTTGCCAGAAATTCGAAGAGTAAAACCCCAAAGCAGGTGTTCTGCTTTGGAGATTAAGGCCAGTGCCTTTCTCTCATGAATATAACCTTTCTTTTTGAGTTACTCTTCCAAGTATTCCTATTACACTCATTTCCCTCTCACAGACAGATTCACTGTTTCCATGCTGTTCCCATTTTTAACTAGAAAACTGATGAAGCAGGTGCTGCTGCAGTGTGTGCCTCGAGCCCTCAGGACTCAGGTTAATCCTTTGTGTTTGTGCTTGTTGGAGATAACTAGAAAGTCCCTGACTGCTTTCAGCATCTGATTTTAAAAGTTTTTCTTTCCCATCCCTCTTTCTTGAAAGAAAAAAAATGCTTCTGGTAATACCTCAAACAAAATTTGGGCTAAAAATAAGCTTTCTTCAGTGATCTCTTTGGTTAGGCTGTGGTGGTTTAAATACAATTTGTATTCCAAGCTTTAACTCGCTTGAAGTCTTGTATTGATATTTTCCCCCTTCTTTTTAAGTTATAGTGGTGGAACTGATATCCTAACTGGAAGACCAATAAGAACATCTGAATTGATGCATTTCTGTGGTATTTGTTGCTTGTTGTCTGTTGCAAATAGAACAAACCTAGTGGTGAAAGCTGCTTATTATTATGAATGTGGTTTGATGTATTTCTCTGCATCGTCTTAATGGTCCTTTCCAACCTAAACCATCCTGTGATCTTAGGATTTCTGAGTTGGTGCAAATACAATGTACAAATAGTTATGTTCATTTTTTCATTTTTTTTCTTTTTATTTCCACCTTTGTCTGTTGTGGAATGGCTGAACTATACCCACATCAAGGAAATTGTACAAAGCCATTGTATTTTCTGTCTATTTAGAGAAATAAAAAAGGAGGAGAGGGAAAAGTGAAATATCAGTTTATTTTTTTGCTCTTCTAAGGGGAGTCTACATGTTTTTTGTGTATAGTAACTTTTGGTACCCTGATTTTGCCAAACATAAATCCTGTGAGTTAACTTGGAGATCAGTTTGGATTTTGAGAGAGGATATCACATTCATTACATATGAAAGTGTTCTGGGATTCCTATGGAGGCACCTCCTCTTCAGTACTCTGGATGACTCCACAGGTCTGTCTCTCTTTTTTATGCCTTTTGGAATATGGCTCTTTTCTTCTCTCAGTGTAATATACATTGATGTCAAAGGGGGCAACACAAATTCCTCAGGAATGCTAGAATTCCCAGGTTTCTAATCCCCTTTTCCTCAAGGTATCTCAGTGCATTTCAGGGCAGGTCACAGATGCTGGTGAAGTCTCAGACTGGCACTGTCCATGGTGCTGTGCTCATTTGCCAACCTCTGACCTCTGTAGCTGCCTCATATCAAACAGCCACATTTCCATGTGTATTAATGAGCAAATTGGCAGTGTAAAATTAATATGTCTTGTGCTCAAAATAGTGACAAACATAACAGCTATGAACTACAGCTGAGCACTTATTTCTACAGCACTTACCTGAGAGTCCTTGAAATATTTAACTTGGCTGCTGTTTGGCTGCCTGATCCTGTCTGATCTAGAGGTCATAAGCTGAGAAAGGGGAGATTGAGGACAGAGGTTAGGAAAGATTTTTTCCCTGTTAGGGTGGTCAGGCATTGGAATATTGCCCAGGGACGTGATGGAGTCACCATCCCTGGAAGTGTTTAAGAGGTGTCTGGATCTGGTGCTGGAGGATATGGTTTAGGGGTTCCAGCAGAGTGGAAGGTTAATGGTTGGACTCGATGATCTTAGTGGTCTCTTCCAGCCTTGATGATTCTATGATTCTATGGTTTGTTATTTTTTACATAAGCAGCACTGATCCAAGTTAGAGAATCCACCTGAAGTGCTACATACAGCTGCTGTACACACAAGGATGTGGGAAGATTGGATAGTGAGAATTGAGATTTTCCTGCT